TTATAAAAAACAGATCTGAAAGTTGCATGATAAATCCGTATTGTCTGGATATCAATAAAAGCCAATAAGAAAAGGTTTTCACATCTCGACTTATCGATTCTTTTATCCCAGAAATCTTATCCCAATATAAAGCTCGTATAAAAGAAACAAAAAATAAATTACATTTTCCTCCAAAAAGTAAAATAAATTATCTCGCCAACTTTAAAAAGGAAAATCATATTTTGCTAAAACAATTTGACTAATTTGAACGAGCATTAAACCCACAAATCTTGAATACGAATAAAAATTAAAAAAATTCCTTCGTAACTTTTCCTCGCAAAATTTAAAAGAGTTTCGCCAGCAGATAGGAGAAATCGATGCAACCAGAAACGAATGGATCAATTATGAAGTGAAAGCATTCACGACTGCAAAGCTCTTTCGTTTCACGAGTTCTCTGACTTGCCTTTTTTTTTTTTTCTTTTTTTTCGGGATACCACGTGGTCGCTTTTGCTCCCGGGACAATCGACGATCCCGTTGAGATCGGCGTGGAGAAGGGAAAAAAGCAGGAGGAAATATCGGTTTTTCCATCCTGGCACAGTCACTGTCCGCATTTCAGGGTTCCTGGTCTTTGCGAAGAAATTTTCCCGAGGGGAAGTGGATATCCATTAAAAAAAATCGAGAAAAATGAAAAATTTAATCGGAGAAAAATTATCATTACAAGTAATGAAAGCTTTTATTCATAGAATCATAGATAATGAAGAATAATTATCAAACATTATTTCCTCGAATTTAATGTTTAAAATTGCGTGACACGAATAAGAAGATAGAAAAATATTCGTTCAAGTAGAATAACTGTTAATAACTAAGAAGTGGAATGGAAGTGAACAGAAACCCGGAAGACAGTGGAATACCCCGAGTAATCCGATTAGTTTAACTTGAGAGAAAAAAAAATGTAAACTTCTAGTTGTAAATCTGTTTTAAATCGTCTAGAGATTTCATTTTCCTCCGACGAAGACCAACGACCCAGTTTGAGACACGTTTTTAAATAAATCATTCTTAGAATTTTCTGCTAGTGTCTTGTAAAAATTGCGTAATGGAATCACTGAACCATCTTGACGACAATATGCGACTTCGACCTAGATTCGGAACATTTATTGCGAACCCCTATCATTTTTCCTTGTGTTTCTTTCGCAAACTTTTAAGACATTTTCAAGGGATAAACATGACTGATCTGAATCGCATAGGTAGAAAAATAAAGAAAAGTGAAATCACAGAATAATTTGGAATTGTAGTTTGGTTAATGATGAAAAAATTGAATAAAAGATAAGTTTTGTATCACGATCATAAAGATTAAATAGAAATTAAAGATTAAATAGAATTACTTAGATATTAGTAATTAAAAGAAATGTAATAATGTTAATAATATTAATGACAAAATAATATAGTAAAGAGTTAATAGATCAGAGATAACATTACTGACAAAAAGACATTAGTTTTATTAAAATTTATAAAAATAATAACATTAAAATGTTAATAGCAATATTTAACATATACTACAATGGAATACATGTATTGTTAATAATATCTAGAACTGGAGCAAAAATAATTACTCATAAAAATAATTATCAGTGTAATAGTTATTATATATTATTACTGTATCTTAAATGGCAAGAATGAAAGATTAAGTGTAGCACATATAACGGTGACCACATCTAAAGACAATTTGCTAAAACTAATTGTAAACTCAAGAAAAGTCTGAATGTCGCAGAAACTCCAGGAGGCAATGTCGGAAACGAATCGTTCCGAAGTTCACACATGTGTTCGTCAACGCGCACACATGGTAAATCGACGGATCATCCAACAAGAATGCAACGACGCAGAGAGCGAAAAAACGAATCGCCATGACGCGTGAAGGATGCAGAGCAGGATGCATTGAACACGCAATTCCAACGGACGATTCAGTTCTTCGTGCAATCTTCGGCCACGGTTGTACAAATATTCATAAATTTATTTACTTTCTATTTATTCGTTTTGAACGTACAACCGAAAAAACAATTCACCAACACATTTTTGATTCATTAATCAAACTTGTATAAAAGAGATGAAATAAAAATATTTTTTACGATATTTCTTCATAAGGAAAATTTAATTCATAACGTGGGAGATCAGATCATGCGTCAGCGATAAATCTTGCAAGTTTCTGATTCGTTGTTAGTAATAAACCTAGTAAGTTTCCTAATTCAATTTACCCTTGTTGATAATAAATTTTCTGAATTCACGACGATTTGATACCTATGTTAGATTTTAATATGAAATTGATGATTTTTGTCTTGTATATTCACATTTAGAAAACATTAAGGACACAATAAATAAGTAAAATTAATTCTAAATATGAATCTTTTGAAAGTTGATATTAAATTCATAATTTCTATTTTGTGACTTGTTTTTTTAATAATAAAATTTTTTGTGTTTTAATCATTTACTATTAATCTTTTAAATAATTTACAAAGTTTTTAAAGCTGATCATAGATAATTATGAAAATAACATTATGAATATCTGAATTAAATTTTCCTAATAATTTCTGAATTAACACGAGCTTTTCTAAATGTACTTAATGGTTCATTAATTAAGAAAACATTGATCAAAAAATTTCGATCTTAATGAGCTCTACATATAGAAGAATTCTAGATAAAAAATCTCCTATCGTGTTATCTTCAATACTTTTCGATATATCTATTTAACATATAAGAAATAGAAAAGAAGAATAGAAGTATCATAATATGATATATCAAGAAAAATATAAGAAACTTAACCTATGAATATCAAGAAACAAGAAATTAGATAATATAGAGACGTTTTTCAAATATATTAATTAAAAAAAGTTTTCAAAGTGAAAGAATTTCATCATTTCATCAATCTTGAAATATTTCATTTAAAATGATAGAAAAACAAATTATTATTCAAAAGTGAATAGTAATTTTTTTGCATATTATATATTTTTTGTTTCTATCTTGTTTCTCGACGACACCATTTCGTTTTTACGTGATAACGTTGGTACAACATGAGATCGATTAAACACTATTTCACACGTACATACGCACGCAATCCATCTATATAAGTATATGTATATATATGGTGAATACGCACTTATTTCGAGTATATAAAAGAATCAAAAGTTTTTTCTTTTTCGAGCAAAAAAAAATGTTGAAAATAAGTTATAAAAAAAAATTCAGAAAGACAACGCCCTTTTTTCAGACAGAAAGATTGATAAAACTTTAACTATTCTATGTTATGTTGCTTCTGATCGATGTCTTTATCTTGCTTGTCCTTGATCTCATAACCTGCAAACACACTAATAATTGACAGCAAAAAAAAAAAAAAAAAAAAGATTTAATTTAATAATCCTGCTATGCCATTCTTTTTACGCGGTTAATTCAAACGCATTTAATCGGACCAATCACAAAAAGCATTGGGACATTTTGCAATTCGCATGATTAATGGTTATCATCTCATATTCAGCGTCCCTATATATAATTTACTAAATAAATTTTTATATTAAAAATAATTATAAAATTGCAAAATTATTAAAATTCTGAAATATTTTGAAAAAATGAAATAATAAAAGAAAAACTAATAAAAGAAAAATAATATTAGATATTAATCTTGATTTTTAATGTGAAAATAATTTATACTATAGAATTATTCAATAAAAATGAAAGAATTAATAAATAATTACAAAGAATGATATTAGATACATTTAAATTAATAATCAAAACTTGCAGAAAATAATTATATGCTGTATTAAATAACCTTCATTGCATTCAAGAAATATAACTGTCAAATGAACCTCATGTTTGAAAGATGTTTCAAAGAAGAAAAAAAATAGAACTAATTTAATTTCATTAAATAAACTTTAATTATGTATAAACGAAACATATGGAGACAATTGTTAATTTATCACTAATAATTGATTCAATTCGTGAATTCACCCCACCCAAAATAAGTATGAAACTGCATAATAAATTATACGGCATTATGAATAATAGTTTTTTGTAATTTGTTAATCTTTTTGCTTTTTTAAAATATTGTAAATATAAAATTATTATTAATTTAAATAATTTTTTCAAATGAGTTGTATTTTAAAATCATTGTATGAATAAAAGATATTTATATTTAAGTGTAAAATTGATTTAAATAATTATTATATTATGATGTATTAATACACATCAAATTTTTATGAACAAAATACTTTAAAATATTGAAAACTTATTAAATGATCATTTTAGATGAGTTTGTTAATGAATTGATGGACTAGTGGCAGTCTCCAAACTCGAATAAATTTTCCTAAAGTGGTTTGCCTAACGACTGCAGAATCGAACCGTTGCTTTGCTCTTTCACTCTTTGCATGAATATCACGTCAAACGATGTATTCTAACCTTTATTTAGAAATCATTTTTGATATTTGTCACGAGATAGAATTTGTAAAAAATAAAACCTAAAAATTTTACGATACCCGCCAAATCTTTTCTAGGTCATTCTATAGGGATAGAAATATGCATGGTTCCACAGCTGATTTGTTCGAATAAAGAAAAATCCATAATGCAAGGGATGCAGCAACGTCGAACAGATAAATTAAATTTTGAATAAAATTAAAATTTACTTACCGAAACTAATCACTTATAATTTATCACCAAATTATATATGAACTTGTAACAGAAATCACAGCACTGACACCACGCCAAAACAGCCCCTACAAACGACTGATTTTTATCGAACTGGCCGCGGCGAAATGCAGCTCGTGCTGCTACATTGCCATCTTCCAGCAATTTCCATAACCATTTCACATCTATCGAATAGCGACGCCAAGACGTTAAATTTTTTCTGCGCATGCTTGATTTTTTTCAAATTTAAGTTTTTATTATCTTTAACAAATAATATAATAAAAATATGAGTAACATAAAATAAATAAAAAAAGAACATATTGGAATAAAAATTACTTATTTCATATAATATCTATTTTCTTTTATTAAACTCTTTATTCATGATTTAAATATAATGCCGATACTTTTAAAATGTGATCGTAAAAAGAACAAGTGCTTGTCAGGAATACATTTTCAATTTTCCTTTTAAATATTTGTTCTGATATTTCTTCGTTATTTAAGAAAGACCAATCACATCCATATGCTATACTTTTATGTTCATTATATTCGCCAATAATAGATAAAGTTACTGTATTTTCGCAATCGATTATTCTAAATCCGCCATACATGCAAGCTGCAAACAAATATTTCCGTTCGAAGGAATCCCATTTTAAACGCCAAATACCACCATCGAGTTTGACATTTGATATAGGTTGTTTAAAGTTTCTTGTATCCCATAATCTTAATATTTCATCATAACTAAAAATATTATAAAAATTTTATTATTGAATTTATGTTACTATTTTAATACAATACCTTCCAGATGCTAATAAAAATTCTCTTGTTGCATTACTATGAATGCTTGTAACACCAGCATCATGAACTTTATTTAACAGGGTAATATTTTTTATTCTCGTGTCAATACGTTGAAATTTACAATCATCGCCACCTTAAAAGTAATTATTATTATAACATGTTCTATTATTTTAGTAAATTTCAATTTCAATTATTTTTATACCACTATATATCACGTTTATGTTCCAATAATCGAAAGCTGTAATCCACGCTTCAAATTCATGTGCAGACCATGAATTAATTTTATTAAGTTCATTTTCATTTATTTCGAATAACGATATAAAACCTTTTGAATCGCTAACTACAATTTTTGTAGCAAAATCATTATTATTTATTAATTTTCCAGTACACCAATCTAAGGATAATGCAAGTATTTCATCTTCATCCGAGACTTTTTTTTGAATTATTAATTCTAAGTTTTTTTTTTTGTCATTATTTTTAAGTTCATAAATCTGGAGGTATCCTAAAGAATTTGAAATACCGAGTAAAATTTTTTTTTGACATATAACATGTGCCCATTTCATATCCAATATGGCTGGTACTTCTAATTTTTGCAGTAATTTTAAATTTCCATTTTGTACAATTTGACATAAATAAATTCTTCCTAAACGTTTTGATAATATTGAAGTATTGGATATTAAATTTTCATCTTCTATTAATTGATATGTTCCACAAACAAATATATCTTTGAAAAAATTTATTGGGCACCATTCAACTGAATCCGCGGAAAACTCTGTATCGAAAGTATCCAAAGTACAGAACATACTCTTCATTTAATCTGTAACACGAAATTATATTTTTCAAAGTTTTTAAAATATAGTAATTAAAATAATTTTAAAGGAAATATAGGATTTATCTGCAATTTAATACACAAAGATCTTTATTTATGTGAATATTACAATTAATGAAAATTATGATACACAATATTTAAGTTATTACAAATTTAGAATTTTTAAACTTGTACAATTACATTTGTATAATGCTACCAATTATGTTTATTAGTTAATTCATATACTATTACCAATTATGTGAATATTTTTATTAAAAAACATAATTATAGAAAGTTATTTGATATGAAGTTGGTTTTCATTAAATATTATAAAAGCTTAAAAAACTTTAATTATTTATAAAAACATTTGTTTGTTTTATATTCATCTATATTAAAAAACTGATACATAGAAATTTTCTGATCATATACAACTTGTACTTTTTGGTCAATGTATTGTTATCATTAAGATCATATCATAATTAATTTTTAGGAACAAGACATGATCATTGTTTCTTACATATAATAAATTCATTTATATATGTATGTCTGAGCAAAGATCATTTACATATCATAGGAACTTTTCTTTTCATTTTAAATATTTTCATAATAGTTGTTTAAATATACCACAATATATTTATACACAAATTTTATTCTAAATATATATTATTAAGATTTAATACTACATTGGTTCTTAATAACTTAATTTTAACTTCAGTTTCTATTGGCATTCATCGCATTTAAGAAATATATTTGTACTATCAATAATTTAATTAAAAATTTCAATTTGTTTGAAATTATCATATTAATAGAATTAATATATGTTCTTCATTTTCAAGTTGATAAAATTCACCTATTTAATACATTTTAATAATTGATAATTACAATCATATAAATATAAAAGAATAATTTTTATAAAATATTTTGTACTCATTCATATAAAATTAATTACATGACTAATAAATTATGGCACCTAATGTCTAGTTTTATTGTACTTTCTTTGGTAAAATAAAATTAAATAAATAATTTCTTATTATATATAAAATAAATATATGATGACAATGCATAGTTTTTTAAATAATTTTTTAAAGAAAATATAAAAAATATGTTATTACTTTTAATTAATGACTATTACTTAGTTTAATAATTTTTGTTTGCAATTACAATTTGCAAATTTAATGTAATCAATATTTGAGGTAGATAAATTGTTATTCTGATTCTTTCATTCTTTAATATGTAAATGCAATACTATTTGCAGCAAAAAATATAAGTCTTTTTATGTTATAGTTAAATACCTCTATAAAATTTGGTCAGTTACATATCATATATAGAATTTTTGTCTTATTGACGAGCACTTTTTTCTGTTTCAATTAAACATTCTCTAACTAAAATACGTGCATGTACAATACCACGCTTAATTTTTTCAATAGAAGTACGACTGCCAGCATAGGTAGGTCGAACTTCATGACCAAGTTCTTCTATAACATTAAGCAGCTGTATATACTTTGATTGACCAGGTACAGAAGGAACAGTTTGTTGAAGGGCTCTTGGGTTTGGTACATTTAGTAATGGCTCAGTAACCTTTGTTGAAACTTCTACATTTCCTCGTTCTTCTTCCATCTTCTAACTGTTTTTTTTTTAAATAAATGTCCTAACAAATAATTTATGAAGAAATGATTGTCATAAGATGATTGTTACAAATTATTTCAATACAATACTTGTATCTCGAATGTAAATTTTCGATTAGAAACCATAATAACTTCATTAAAAAACCATAATTTTTAAAGCTGAATACCTTGCGAAAAGATTCTAATAAGATCATTAAAGAAAAGCGCTGATATAACCTCAAATTAAATACATAAATACATAATTACCTTTATCTAGGAAACTTACCTTAATAAATATACTAGCAAAATTTTATGCAATAAATAAATAAGTAGAAATAAAAATTAAGCGTAATATTCTACAAATTCTTAAAACTATTAAACATTTACTTCTCACACGTTTTATCCATATACTAATATGCACGTTTTCGAAATTTAAACAGCGGTTAACTAAGAAGGTTAGAAATTATATTGGCGCCAAATTTAAAACAATACATATAAATATACATATTTGATTTAAGGGTATAAAATCAATACACAATATCGTATAAAACTGTTTCTTTTTTTTATTTAGTCATACTTTGTAGTCAGTAATATTTAAGGATTATATTTTCCATAGGTACATTTTGTTTGATCAATTTCTTTTTCTGCAAGTATACTGTAATAATTATTAGGTACCTATAGTTTTAACCAAAAAATGCAATTAATTTTCTATAGAAAATATAAATAAAGGCTTTTTAGTGTATAAATTCATCTCTGCCTAGTATTATATTTTCCATTTGTTAATTAAAAACTTAATAAGAAGGTACAATTCCTTCATAATGTTTCTATGGAAAATGGTCATCTTTACATTTTTTTTTAATAAAAATAAAAAACTAAAATGAAAAATGAATCATTTTTCTCTGATTTAATTTATATTCAATATTATGCGCTATTGATTGATTAATTTTCTTTAGGCATCCACAAAAGTGCATATTTTAAGTTATTTTTTATTAGTTATTGAAACTATTATTAAATTTTACAGCTATTACTTTCTCATTTTTTCCATTGTCTAAAAGGACTAGCTGCTCACACTTTTTTATATTAAACGTACAAACTAGTAAGATCGTATAAAATATGAAATAATAAATGTTACATATGCACATTCTTGTGGATGCTAAGACACTCCCTTTAAAATATACTGCTATACCTCATACAATGTACATAGTATTACTTTGTAAAATAATCGACTAAAAATCTAATTGCTAAGTATATCGGCAGATCATTGCCGTGCATTATGTTCTGTTTCCAATAGACATTCCCTTACAAGAATTCTTGCATGTTGAATACCCATTTTTAATCGTTCAGCTGCACTGCGACTTCCGGCATAAGAAAGGCGAATGTCTCTTCCAAGCTCCTCAATGATAACCAGTAACTGAGCATATTTACCTTGACCAGGCACAGTGGGAAAATTTATTGTACTGGATGGGCTAGCCTGTGCTACTTGAACAGTTTGAACATTTTGCAAATTTCTTGGATTTGGCACAGTAATCACAGGTTCAGGGATTCGAGGAATTTCTGGTGGTGGTACTTTTGGTGGTGGTGGTGGATCATTTAATTTTGTTATTGTTATTTCATTTAATTTAGCCAATTCAGTTAATTTTGCCATTTCTGCCATTTTTGAATATTCAGGCATTTTTGTAATATCATTCTGCATATTTGCCATTTTAATCATTTCATTCATTTTCGTTTTTTCATTTATTTTGGCAATTTCTTTAGCCATCTCATTAATCTGTGCAATTTCGTTTAATTTTGTTATATCATTATTATATTTAGCCATTTCTGTCATTTTTACCATCTCATTAAGTTTTGCTATTTCGTTCATTCTTTGAACTTCGTTAATTTTTGCCATTTGAGACATTTTCATCATTTCATTCATCTTTGCAATTTCATTAATTTTCGTGATATCATTATATTTAGCCATTTCTGAGAGTTTTACCATTTCATTCATTTTGGCAATTTCAGACATTTTTGCAATTTCTTGCATTTTCATATATTCTGTTGTTTTAGCATATTCTGCCATTTTTTCCATTTCATATCTTTTAGCCATATCTTGAGACATTTTGTTTAATTCAGTCATCTTACTAAATTCAGCCAGTTGAGCCATTTGGACTATATGTTCTGGTACTTTCCCTCTTTCCATCATTTGTTTCAACTCTGCAGAAATTTTATTCATATTCATTTCTGACATTTGAGCTATTGTTGCTGCATCTGGCATTTTAGACAATTCAGCAATTTTTGAAATTTCTCTTGCTAAATTTTCATCTAAACAACGCTTCTTTTTAGCACGATGTCTAGCCATACGCTGGGCTTCCTGCATTCTTCTTATTGCTGCCTGCTCTTCTGTTTCTTTTGCCCTAGCGTTCTTCATTCTTTCAGCAGCAGAAAATAATCTAATAGTACGCTCTTCTAATGTTTCTGACTTCAATTTTTGTCTTCTATATTCTCGCATTTCTCTTACCTTTTTAAGGTAAGATTTTTTTTTAGCCTTAGGCATAACATGCAATTACGCACAGCATAGGTACAATCATCTATGTAAACTGTCATTTTTATGTATTTTAAATATCAAACTTCTCAGAAAATATACTTTGTGCATGCGTTAATGATTAAGCGTAACTTTGTTTTCTTTCTTGATACTTATTAATGTTTCTCACATATCATTTCATATATAAAGTACTTTTTTATCATTTCTTCACTTTAGAAATTACCTGCAATAAAAAAATTAGTTAGTATTTTCATTAAAGATTTTCACTAAAAATCTTTAAAGTTAAAAATAGTTCATTTACATATTTTAAAATACAATAAACATTTTCATCGTTTGTTGTTTAAGTATAAGTAAATTTTAGAATATCGCACTTAACGAATGAAAATTTTAATTAAAATAAATAATAATAACGTTTAAAAATTTATTTGCATCAGTAATAAAAGACTATCAATTTGACGATCTCTCTTAAGAAATACCATGATGATTTTCTTCACTATAAAAAGCGATAAATATGAATATTAATTCAATTTTCGATGTCTAAAAAGACGCGGGTACCAAGCTTAAAAAAATTTCATAGCACGTGCGCAAAAATCGAATGGCTAATACTGTTTTCGAAATACGTGTATGTAAGTGTGCGTGTCCTGTCGACTACCTGTGCCTTGTTGCTTTGTGTGTGCGTGTCTCCCAAAATTCGAAAGAAGAGCGTCGTCAAGTAGAACGTAATGCGCATGCGCGTCAATCTAAGAACGCCGTCTTCTCTGGAACGTTCACCAATCACAACAATGGCGAATGCAATTCGGTCAGTTCACTGAAACGCACGATTAATCCGTTGTAAAGCTAAACCACGTCGTGGATTGATTCCATTTTATAATCGCATCTTCTTCGCGATAAAACACATCCGTCGTTATTGTTCATGAAAAAATTACTTCGATTTTTCTTAAGATATACCGCAGACAAACGCACAAAAGCAATATCGGCCGACATGTAAGATTTTCGTTCGGAGCCACTTTAAGGGGCCAAGCGGGGTCGCCGATAGGCTGCGTGTGACGTGGTTGCGTTTATTGACCATAACCCCTTCCTACTCCCGTCTGCAACTTCACGACGGACAGGTGTACGACCTGAGAGACCGCAAAACAATTGACCAAACCGACCGCGTCTTAAAATATACGGCATTGTCAGAGAATCACAAAGATGCTTGGAATGTTCGACCTCTTATCGTGTCCGCTGATGGTGTTATTATTCTTCTTTTTCATCAATAATATAATTGTTTTCTGCAAAATATTCAACTCACGGTAATTTTTCTTGACACATTGAAAGACCGGTTTCTTCAAGAAATGAGAAAATTTTGACGAGCTTTCTTCGGTTCTTTCAGACAAGAAGGTGAGACTTACAATGAGCTCGTCAGGAAGATACGTTTTCAATAAACTTTCGTGAAAGAATTTAAATTATTTAATGATAATTCATAATATTGATATTCATATGAAAAAATTAATATCTAAAATTCGTAATATTTTTAAATTTTATTGTTTTCATATTGTTTCGTATATGAATTTAGGTAAATTATTTAAATAACGCGATTTTTTTACAACATGAAATTATTTCATTAAATTTTATTTTTGTATGTATAATACTTATCATATTAATTACATTTATTACTTATATGGAGAATTATTGTTACTACATCAATGAATTTTTTTTGTTATTAATGTTTGTATATTCTATAGCACTTATATACTATTCAGGAGTGAATTTAATTCTTTTTATGTTTTATCATTTGTCAGTGGAAGAAAAATCTATAAATAGAACATTTACAACTGATGTAATTATTCAAGCAGTAGATGATATCCTTTTATAATCTATATTTCTTTATACAAAATAAAATATTTTACAAAATATATATTTTAATAGAATCAAATAAATAAATTATATTTATGTTAAAAATCCTATATTCATGCTAATTACTATTGTGAATTCATTCCTTTAAGTATTTATATTTCCATTAAGTATTCTTTTATCAACATTCTTTTATAATATTTATTTTTAATTTTTCTGCTAAAATTTTACTACCTGCATATATTAATTTAATATTTTTTCCTAATTTTTCAATAATTGACAATAATTGAGAATATTTATTTTGTTCACAAACTGATGTAAACTATGTAATGACTGATGAATTTTATATAGGAATATGTGTTTGAAATTGTTTAATTTTTATTATGAGGAGGCAATGAAGTTAATAGATCTAAATGTAATATTTTTTTTATTTAATTCTATGTTAAGTGTCTTCACTTCCTCTAAATCTTTTTTCTTTTTTGCTTTGAATCTTGCTATTTCTTTTCATCATGAAATCTGATTTATAACTTTTTTTTTATCTCTTTTAGTTTTATCAAAGATTTATATATATTTTTTTCTTTTTTTTTTTTTATTAAATTTTGTTTATTTTATTTTCGAAGTTTTCTTACCTCTATTCTGTTTTTAATTGTTCATTTTGTGTTACTTTTTTTAATTATAATATTTTTTATTATTTAGATTATATTATATATATTAAAAAAAATTCTCAAAATTATTTAAATTTACCTCTTCTTTGTTATCGACGTTCACGCATGCGCAAAATATATATGATTTAGAATCCAATCATTGGAATGGCGAACTGACGTAAACAGTATTATTAAACTTTTTTAATTATATATATTTCAATTATAAATATTTATTATTCTCTTAATTATTAATATTTGCATTTCAATTTCTTTCACTGGTTTGACAGTTTTAAATATTTTTAATTATTACGAATATTGAAGAGAAGAAAAGCTATAATTGTACGTAAGATTTGATTAATCTTTTTACTAATATAGTTTTACGAAAAAATTGTGATGCTCAGATTTGTTGAAGATTAGAAAGAGATAGTATTATTCTGTCTTGTGTATTATTATCTCAAGGTGAAACATCCTCAAGATAGAAGCTTGCAATTAATTGATTAATTTTTATATTTATTAATCTTTGGTAATTTTTTAATATGCACAATATAATTATTATTAAATTAAGAATAGCTTATGGAATTGAGAAATTGTATCAAAATATATACATATATTTATATATTAATGCATGTAATGCAAATGTATACATGTATTTATCTTAAAATCTAAAGAAATATGATTAGTTAAATTAAAGATAAATTGTTTTTTAAATATATTTTTCTTTTTATCTTTAAAAATATATTTAAAATATTTTATTTTTTTATATTTTATGGTATATGAATTTTATATAATTTTTAGATTATAATTAATTATTTTAAAAAATTATTAATATAAAAATAGAAAATAAAAATAAATATAAATAAATACTTTATTTCTATAAAATATTTTTTCTTGTTGCAGGTTATATAAAAAGACTTTAATTATTCTGTAACGTGTGAATTATAATTTCTAGAAGTATAATAAAAAGATATTGTTTCCAATGTATATTCCATCATATGAGTATTATTTTCTTTTATTGCTAATAATCCTGCCAGTGTTCTTATTTTTTAAATTATGGTCATGGTTAGGCTGGCAATTATTTGTGAATAATTAATATATAATTGATTTTGTTTTTTTTGTTTCCCTCTTCTTTGTTCAAGAATATAAAAATCTTTTTTCTTACATATATAAGAAAACAATATTTATATATATAATACATTATAAGCTTTTTTTTCATAAATTAAATTTTGTATCTAAAAAAATTAAAATTAAATTTTATCAGTAATTAAAAGTTCATCTAATCCCATATTTCCTCTATGTTTCCATATCCTAAATCTGGCAACATCCTTTCTTGTAATAATCCCAATTACCTAAAAAAAAAATTTAAAATCATTTTTTTTATGTAATAATATTTAAAAAAAAAATGCATCAATTTGTTAATACCTCATTTGTATCATTGACTACTGGTAAATGTCGAAGACCTAGAGCTCTAAAAAGTCTAAATGTTCGTGGCAGTGTTGCAGACTAAAAAAAAAAAATTTTTTTTTTATTTAATAATATGTGAAGAAGAAATTAATAAAAAAATACTAACATGTTGTACTGTATAAGGAGAAGGATTCATGAAAGGCCTTAAATCTATCGTATAAGTTTTTTCTTCTTCAGTTACAGTTACTTGATCGATTGTTGGATATCTGGGATATTCTTTTCTGAATATTTTAATACTTAATGATCTGTCCCAATAATCTAGGTTTTTATTAAAAATTTTGTTTTGCAATAACACTATTAATTGAGAGCGTAAAATTAGTCCTCGAAATCGTCCATATGAATGTATTTCAATCTAGAATAAAAAAAATAGCACAAATATAAGAAAATAATATATCTTTTGAATATATATAACAATAGGATTCATTACTTCATCACTATTAGGAGGATCAACCACAGGAAATCCATTAAATGTTACACATTTCAAAAGTTCTATTATATGTCCTACATTTTCTACTGTTTTTAATGTTACTATTGGATGACTCATTATTTCACTAGCGTAAATATTATTTGACAATGGCGGAGCTTCCCATGGTAATATAGGAATTCCAGCCATTTGTGTATGAATATCATAAATTCCCTATAAAATAAGATATATAAATATATATCTTAAATTATATGTATATATAATATAGATTGATATTTTCATACCTCATTGAAAAAGTCTCCAATCCATTTAGCCATTATAAGAACTATTATAAGTGGTAAGCCAAAAGATATTCCTTGAGTAGCTTCTATTAATATTGCAGTTAAACTTATAGTCATTCTAACTACTCCTCCTAATTGAGCAGCTGCACCTAATAAAGCATACTTTCCAGGATTTAAAACAACCTGCAATAATTAACAATAATTGTTATTTTTTCTACAATATTTAATATATTCTATGTTTTTTATTTTTATGATTATTTCATACGCAATTTGGAAAAAGTCTTGAAAGTCCTGATCCAATTAATCTACCCCAAGCAGCACCAATTAATAGGGATGGAATGAACAAACCACTAGACATGGATAGACCAAAAGTAGCAACAGCCAGAAGAAAATAGAGAACAACAAAAATAGCTAAAGTGATATCATTGTGAGAACCTATAAACAAAAAATTTAATGAATATATTCTATGTTTTTTTTTATATTATTAACATACCTTTAGGATCATGAAATAAAGATCGTACACTACTTTCTGGTGTTTGAAACCATAAAGCTGCAACAGCACTATATTCTCCATCATTGCAATACATTTGAATGGGAAATTTAGTGGGATCCTGTCCCAATGGTTTACAATCTTTCAGACAATAAATCATGATAAATCCTATTGTTGCACTTAATGCAGCAACTATAAGAGCTTCTATTACTTTCAACCATTTTTTTTTTATGTATTTCAAACGGAAACAGGTAATTTTATAATTTAGATGATTCCAACAAGCACCCAAAAGTCCACCAATTGTTCCCATTAACATGAACAGCGGAATTTCATAAATTTGATAGGGTATTGTCTCAAATTTTCCAAGATTTAGTAAGCCTGGATAAGAAAGATCACCGGGTCGTCTGTGGTATGTGCTAAGAATAATGTTTAATGTAAATGTTGTGATCATACTAGCAAAAAATGTTCTCCAAGTGAGACTTTGATTAAAGAAACTAGTTCCTTCTTCGATACTAAATAGTACTCCTCCTAAATTATTATTTATTAAATAATTAATATTTATACTACATATATATTATATCAGTAATTTATTACCAATTGGTGCACCAAATGCAGCAGATACACCAGAAGCTGCACCTCCAGATACAAAATCTCGTTTTTCATGATCTTCTCTGAAATATTTGAATATCTTTAAATCTTTGTTAAATGTAGTACTTTTTCCTTGTGATATTCCTGCTGCTATCACAGCTCCAGAATGTATCATAGGTCCTTCCTAAAATGATATTTTATTTTATATTGAAATTTTTTTTTTATTTAAAAGAAAAAAATAAAAAATAATATAAAAATAATAATGAAACATATTTACTTTTCCACCAGCTAAACCTCCTACTACTGTACAAATTACTCCTATAGTTTTTACTGCTAATGTTTTAATACGCACAACTCGAGGTATTTTAATTCCATTTAAATAACATTTCACCTGAGGAATACCACTACCTGCTGCAACAGGTTCCACATAAGATACTAAAATTGCACCTATTAAAACAGGTGCAAAATTTAAAGCTAACCATAATAAATATGGTAACCATAAACAATTTCTTGCTACACATTGATCCATATCTATCATTCATTATAAGGAGTATTGAAATTATATTTCTTTTTCTTTCATTTGTTATTTGTTTATAATAGAAGTAAAGGATACAAAATTTCAAACAACCATACTTTAGCTTTGTTAATTCTTCTATAGAAATATTTACAAAACTAGCTATAAGCGCTGTACAAATACCTATTAATAAAAAAATAAACCATCTAGCAAAATTCTTTTTAACTACAAACTTGTAACCTTTTTTTCTTTCTTCATCTTGAAGAAGATGATTCTCACAGGGATCATAATCTAAACTCTAAAAAAATAAATAAAAATATAATGATATATTATACATAATATTTTTTTAATGCATAATTAGTTTTAAGATAAGATATTCACAATGATTAATATAGAAAGTTCTCCAAATATAAAGATAAATATAATTATATATCAATAAGAACATAAGATAAATATATAATTATAAGAAAAATATACCTCATAATTACTTGATAAAAAATTGGTAGCACCAGGAAGTATTTCTTCAGTATTAAGTCTTCTTAGATTATTAGAAAGTGTTTCCACAATACTTTGTGATGACACATTACCCTATTGATAACATTTTATTACAAATGAAAAAATATTAAAAATGATTATAATTATTTTATTAATATTAATTAATAAATTAATAAATTAATATAATATTTTATTTTTATATAAAAAAATTTTTCTTTTCTTATCAATGTTATAAAAAATAAATAACTAATTAAACAGGTGTTAGGTTATCTTATTATATTCAAAAAAAAAAAAAAAACATAAGGACAAAATTTTAAAAATATAATATATAAATTATCATTAAATTATTACATCTTTCCGAAATCTAATATTAACATCTTCATTCGAGTATGATGCAAAATTATTTCTTGGTTTTAATAATTTTTCTCTATCATTTTCACAATCATTTTCACAATTATCAACACTGTCATCGATGCCATTGTTTATTGATACGTTTACATGCGTTGGAGTATCCATCATTTTTCAAACATTACCACTATGATCATATTTTAAAGATTAAAAAAAAAAAATCAAGTCATTGATTACAAGCATAGCTACTACTTTGTTGTGGTTCAATGTTACCGCATACTGAACTGACACAAGGAAAGAAAAATACATATTGACAATCACGTGATTAATAATACTATGATTCATGTTCAATGAAAGTGGTGCTCAACTTATGATATATTTTTATTGTTCAAAAATCGTTTGTTATTAAATGGAAGTTCTCTTTTAGTCAATCAATATTGGAATAAGAACTATATACATTTTATACATGGAAAAATTCTTTTTCTTTTTTATTTTTTATGATTTAAAAAAAAATTCATAAAAAAATAAAACGATTGGGAAATACTAACAATTCAGGAAATATATTATCATTATTTTGATTATTCTGATAATCTAAATGCATAAGCGCTCAAGAATATTATAGAATAATATAATGATGTGTAATACATTAAAGTTTTTTTATTAAAATTAAAAAAGTGAAAAAAAATGTATTGTTTTATAAATGAAAAAAAATGATTATGCATATGAGTAATTAGAGTATATGAAGATAATAAGTATAATATGAAGGTAATAATACATCGTATGAGATATTAAAAATTTTTGTTTTTTTAAATTTACGAAAAAATTGCGATAAATATTTCTTTTTTACTTAATGAATTAATTTTATAAATATTTTCTTTTGATATTATATAATTTACATTGCTTATGTATTATATAATCTATATTATTCTGATTGGAATATTTTTTTTGATGTTATGTCTCATTTAATAAGAATTATTGGTCTCTAATTATATTATCTAAAATGATAAATGAATGTAATTTTTTTTGTAATATTTATATTATAAAAAAATAAATTCATCTTTTATATTCATTATATCCTTCACTTCTAACATAATTATTATATTATTTTGTAAAATCAAAATAACGATTAAATCGCTATTAAACAATCTATTTAGAATAATTATTATTTCTTACTTCTATAAGAATAAGAAAGTGTAATTAATTGTAGTCTTTCTTTTTGGAAAAGAGAATGTGCATGCAAGATCATTTATCTTCAATAAACATTCTCATATATTCATTTCTAAAAATAGTAGTCTTGTTGTTAATATTTCTTCAATATTTTTTAATATTTCTTCTGATATTCTTTTTTTTGGATCAAAATGATTTTTATTTTTAATTAATATTTTTGAGCTCTAGCATTTCGAACATCCAAATAAAGCATGAAAAGTGTGTGCAACGACTCTAATCTCGAATCTTCCTCGGATGGGATATCTAGAAGATTGCAAACAATATCAACGAGTTCTGGTAATTCGCAATCCAACTCTGTAAAGTCCAATTCGGCTTCGTTAAGCTTCTCTTCGACTTCCGGTGGCCATTGTTGAAGTAACGAGTCGATCTCTGGCATAGGTTTGGTTAAATGAACGGCAGGCGGATGTTTGCTTCTGTGAAGCTGATCTATATCCTCTATCCACTTCTCGATCGACTTCCCGTTTTTCTCGGCATCTTCGATTCTTTTAATCACTGTTTGCCTTGCCACACCGGCGCTTCGTAAATGGCTACGCAGTTGAAGATGAAGAACAGCTGGATCGGATTGATTGGTACAGGGCTCGTCCAGAACTATTAAACCAATTTTATCCTCTATACCGTCTGGTCGTGGAATTTTTATGAAGGCGTCTATATCACCCACGGCTGGTATATAATCGGGAATAAATGGTATGAGCTTGTAATTCAGCTCTATCTTTTGTGGAGTGTATCTGATAAAAGAGGCAAAGACATTTATAAAATATAATAAAAAAATTGTTAAGAATAAAAAGAATTATGTATTTTAATTAAGGATATAATTAATATATCCTTATACATACAATTATGAAGGAAATTATAAAAATTATATTAATAAATAGTATTCAAAAGATAAGGGAACGAAGAAAACGTGTACCTCATTATGTTTTGAAATAATTCTTTCACCTCTGTAGAGACTTTTAAATCCTCGAAATCCTTAGGATTGTAAAGTTCAATCTGTTGAGCGTTTATCGTTCCTTGGATATCGTCATCATCACTCTCCTCGCTGTCTGATGGATCACTGTGAATTCCCATGGCCTTCCCAAAGTTATTATCATTATCAGAATATCTGATAACCAAACAATTATCCATTATTTTCTATTTTCTACTTTTAATTTATTAATCATTCTTTGTTGATTCTATCTCCAATTATTTAATCAAAATTGATTAATTTACCTTCGAAAATTATATTTTTCACGAGGTGAATTTATCTCTATAGAACTTCGAGCCTCGTTAATCGGATATTGCCTGGATCTTCTCGAACTAGAAGGTCTACGAATCACTGGGCTCTGTATCTCTTCCGCGTTTTGTACATCGATACTCTCGTCAAATTTCGTAAAGGAGGAAATATTACGTATCTCTTCCTCATCACTGCTGTCTCTAATATCCATTGTTCAACGATGAACATCCGTTTTCCTTGAATTATTTCTGACGATTTTACGAGGAAATAATTACGCAAATCGTTGGTAGAAAACGATACGCTTCTTTTCTCGATTGTTTTGATCTCTGTGCTCAGCTGTTACTATGGTTTCGTTATGGATCGATGAGCGCATGCTTGATTATTTTTTCGTACATTTTAAAAATATTGATATTTAAATACAATACTTATTAAATTATTTATTAAAATACATATAAAATTAGTAATTAATTACTAATTTTTCTATTTGTAAAAAAAAAATAATATTTTTATTATAAATATTATAATATTATAATTTGAGTATCAAGAATAAATGAAATTGTCATACATTTAATAGGTATTTTTATTATTTTGAATTAATTCACATTAGAGTAGAAATAATTATGATATTTGATGTCAGTCTGTCACTGAATTGTTAAAAATTTTTTGAAAATTTCTATATTTTTTAATGTGTGACATGATTCATTGTTTCTAGTAATTTATATCCATTTGTTTCGTTCCTGGAAAAAGGGATAATCTGTAGATTTACAGATTATCGAAACGCCATTGATATCTCTTAAAGACAAAAGATTTAAGATTATAAAATCATTAGTTTTTATGGCTCTTCATATAAGAAACTTAATAAGTTAATAATTTTTTTATACACGATATAATTTTATTTCTTCGTCGATAACACATTGATACAAATATTTTATCACAGGTATGATAAAAAATTAATATTTTATCTTTGATAAAATGACTCTACCAAATATTGAAATCAACGATATTTATTTATATGACAAACACTATAAAAACATCACGTATACAATAAATAACAAATAATACGACGAAGTAATAGAATCTTAATAATTGTAAATAAAATTTCATACGATGAAATATATAAAATTCGTATAAATAATCGTAATAATTCATAAAAAGAAAAAAAGACGAAGCGAAAATTACTTCGTTAAAATAAAAAAAAAAAAAGTGTTAAAAATTTATATTCTTAGACAATATCAACGTGAACTCAAAATAAAATCATTCTAAAAATATTCTTAAAAAACGATATCTCAATGGAATATATCATTAACGAACGTAGCTTAAATAAACTAAAAGAGAAAAGAAAAAAAGAAAAAAGAAGAGAGAGAAAGAGAGAGAAAGAGAGAGAGAGAGAGAGAGAGAAAAAAATTAGCACAAATAACAAATTCCAGATGACGATTCAGATGCCTTTAGATCCACGATTGTTTAATCGTATTGCTTGACAAACCTCTTCCTTGAAGAAATGATTCATTACCTGCGATTCATTACCTTTGATAATATAAAACTATTGATAATTGTCTGGAATGTTAAACCGAGAATCAGTAACAATAACATCACCGTATTCTATCTTTATGACTAGTTCTGTTTTCATTTCGATGAAAATTTTCATTGGAATGTTTTACATCTTCTTTCTTCTATTTTTCTTTTTTCCTTTTCTTCGCCTTCTGGAAAATGGATTGAATAAATAAATAAAAATATCAAAAGGAATGGACGTGGCTTCCGCTATATTGGATATTTCCCGTAGATATGGCCGCTCCTGGTTCGTCTTATCAACCATTTTTGATTGTTCTTGTAGAATATTTTATCGGTGGTTTGGGTGCTTTGAGAATTCTGCGGTTGGGCCACGTTCAAGCCGAAAATCGATTTCTTCGGGATCGTGTTCCTTTTCTTGCTGGAGGAACGAACTCTGGATATATCTTCGTCGGAGTAATTCCTGTTTTGTATTCGTCCACGGGAGAAAATCGAGTCACCGCATGCGTGAACGCAATTTGTCGAACTGGAAGTTACGTTCGAAACGCAGAATTGGTCTTCCGGATGTTCTACCGTGATTCTGTGAGTGATCGATCAGGGGAAAAATTTCATTTGAAAATGTTCAATCTGTTGTTTCAATCAATTTAATAATTGGCCAGTTTTGTTAACGATCAATCGAATAATTCTTATGGTTATTCGATCAATCAGTTTTTAAATTAATTTTTTCTTCGATCACCAATTGCATAAACTAACGTTTCTATTCCCGCAGATTCGAAAACGTTTCGCACTTCGTCCTTCTCACACTTCGACGCAAGGATTACGAGTAGAAAAAGGATAATACAGATGACGGAGAAGGCTAGGATATCTGTGGTAACGTTCCTTAATGTTATGCTACGAAGTTTCGAATCCGAATTGTCGAAATTTTCATTGTTTGTCGCTATCCAGAAGAACTTGTACAAAATCAAATCCTAAAAAAAAAAAAAAAAAAAAAAATAATCATTACGTTAGATCGTGTTAGATAAATCTCATAGACATAAAATAAATAAAAAGATATATTTTAAGGTAAAATAATGGCAATTCTTTTTTTTTTTTTTTTCTCTCGAATGTTATCTTCTTTAATTCAATTTTATTATCACATAAATTGATATGTGAACTTCATTACGCGAGAAGGTTAATCACGCAATCGTACCCGTAAGTATATAGAAACTTGGCGGATGATGAGCCGCACGAGATAGTAAATGTCGCTCAAATTATCCATCATCGATCGCCACTGAATAATCATTACGAATTCGATTAAACGGCGACTTGTTTCTCGTGGATGGAGTGGAAATTTGTCAGACCATCTTGTTGCTCTATCGACTGCCCAGAATTTGACAAAAGATTTCCACCTATATCGAAATTACATATTGTCATTTGTTATCGTACATATCGTATATCGCGTTTCCTCTTAACTTCTATTTCTATTTCGACATGAATATATGTATATGTATATTACATTGAAAAAAATTTTAACTAAAGCTCGATGTTATCTTTTGAATTCAATTCAATTTATTTCCTTTAAAATATTTTTTATTATTTTCAAATACCAATTAATATCGAATGATTCATTTATAAAAAATTTTCCAACAGAATTTTTTATATTCACGTGTGAAATTCACGAATGAAGTCACGGAAAATCGATATGATTTCGAAAGCATTGAGTCATTCTAGGAAAAATATATCTCGATATTTCTTCGATAATTCAAAATGTCAATTTGCATCTTGGTTTACATATTTTACGAAACATTCGCAATGATAGTGTTGTTTCCATTGATTTAAAAAAAAAAAAAAGAAAGATCTCTATCATCATGGCATTATAATTTTAACATCTGCATGAAATTTCCTTTCTTTTTTAATCTTTTCTCTTTTTATTTTTATTCTCGATCGAAATTTTTAAGAAATATTCACCACTTCGTTTCATTTTCTTTCGTTTCTTTTTTTTTTATCTTTCTTCTTCCTCTATCTTTTTTCTTCAAAATGTGCTCGTATCGCATTGCATCTACGAAAGTAATACGCGCGATTTTTTATGCTTTTACAATTTTTTATTCTTATCCAAGCTGATAAAGGAGAACACGTTGATTACAATTCTTTATCGTCGAGCGAAGCTTTGAAGCTTATACACGTTTTACGAATGATCGTTGGATTACTTGGTTTTATTGTCCTGAATTCATTACGAACCGTGATATCAGATCAATAAAACTTATCGATAAAGCGCAACGTTATTTAACAAGTTTCCGACAGAAGTTTTGTCGAATCTGTTATTAAAATATAGTTAAAAAAAAAAAAAAAAAAAAGAAAATGTTACCTTGAACAACTCATTTCTTTCTTCTTTCGTTTATTTCTAAGTGAATATCTTTGATATCTGTACACTATAAATTAATTATATCGAATAATTTACTAATATTGAATATAATTTATTTCAAGAAATTAATTTATTTTTTTTAATATAAAAATTTTATCAAAAAAATAAAAAAGGATTTTTAATATTTCTAAGAATTATAAATACATGGAAATTTTTAATTTAAACGTATATTTCTTTTCAATTGCTATTTATTTACCATCATACGAAATGTCCTAAAAAATTCAAGCAATTAAAATTTTTTCAATTATTACTCAAAGCTATAAAATTTTATTTCTTCAATTTTCATTTCATTAGAAAGTCACTTGTCATCCTGTCAAAAAAAGAAAATCAAAAAGCTTTAACAAACTATTAATAAATATTGGGAGAAATAAAAAAGAAGAAAAGTTCGAAGAAAAACCAACATGTCATCAAAATTGTGTCTCTTTGATTTTTCTTTTTGATTTTTCTTTTCCAAAATATATTTACAGTTTCATTCAAAATTCATTACGGAAATCATCAATTCTTACGAACTGTGAATATCTCTTACGAGATGCAACACGTGCGTCAGTATTATGCAGGTAATACCTCGACAGAACTGACGATGAGATGAAGTTTTAGGTGTACGAAAGAGAACGTCTGCGTCGATCGTATCTAATCGACGCTCGTGTTACAACTCGAGTTTTATTTCGCGCGAGTCATTCGTTGCAGTATCTTGCTAATACAAAATCAGTTAGAAGGTATCTTACCTGTCTTTAATCCTTTCGATAGTAAGCCATTATTATTAATTTTTCTAAATTTATTTCTTTTAATTCCTTTTTTGTAGAAAAATTTTGTAAATCAATTATTATTATAAACAATGATTATTTTAAAATTGCATTTTTTAAATTTCTTGATATTTGATATCCACTCTCGCTCTATCCACTTGATATTTTGAATTAATCACTTATTTGAAGAAATTTGAGATTTTAATCTTCTAAAATTCGTCACCTCGATGAAAGGGTTAATAAAAAATAATGGGTGGTTTGATAGATCGTCGATAAAAGTAATATATACGATAAAAAAAAAGTAACCTATTTTTTTCGATTAAATTATTAATTCTTTCGGATGTTTTATCCTTCTCACAATTTTTTCCATTGAAAACGAAGTGAAGTGAATTTTTTTTTCCTTTGTGAAAAAGTGTCTTTAGGATGATTTATAAATTGTGCCGTACTTTTGCCAGTGTTTTTTGACGGATCGAAATGACGTTATCGTGGTTCCATTAAAGCAACAATAACGAGAAAAGAAGGAAGAAAAAAACATGAAAAATTTTGCGATGACAATTTCTATTCTTCCGAGCTATGATTTTTTACACGAAGAATGATAAATAAATCATTGGAAGAATTATCTGACAAGATTGTTGGAGATTTAGAAATAATCTCTCGAGATAAAGAATAAATTTGACAATTTCAGAGAGAGTATCAGAGCCATGGAGAAAATCGAGAACGGTGTTTATGTAAGAGATTTTTCTTTTTAATAAGATGAACGATTTGGAAACGAAGTTTTGAGTTAACAAATAGAATATATTTACAGAAGCAAAATGGTTACACGAACGAGGTTTTCCAGATGGAAAATATTCCTCCGGGACAAAGAGAAAATAATCAGAAAACGAAAGAAGAGGATGCGAAAAATATTTCCTCCGTATGTGACTTGTTTTTCTTCAATTTCTTACAAAAGAGTAAAATTGTTAAAAATTAATCGATTGTAAAATTAAGCAAATAATTAAGATAGTTTTTAATAGGAAATATTTCAAGAAATTTTGGTTTATTCCATTGTGATATCTTGGGCCATCATTTTCAAAAATTTTAACTTCACTTTAACATATAGGAGTTTCGTTTGTTTATTTTCAATAAAGATGTTTGCATCAAATTTATCTTTGTATTATATCAATGGTATTATCATTGTGTTAATTTTAAACAAAAAATGATAAATTGTAAAACAAGTCAGAATTAATATTTGCATTACACGATCATTGAGATTTCTATTCAAGGTTTCTTTATTTTTTGCTTTTGGGATTAAGAAATAACTGTTAATTATTTATTTTCCATTACCATGTAAAATATCAACAATTATAATGAATTTCCATATTATTTCCATTCATTTTCCAATATTATTTCGAATTATTCCTTATTTCTTACTTATTTCACTTAGTTCATCATTCTATATGTTCTTTACTCTTCTTAATACAATTATAATATTATTAAACAAAATCTTCTTTTTTAATCGTCTTATGTATTTTTCTTGTTGGCTGTTGTGCATTTTCATTATCATTTGTTCAAACTAATTAGAGTATCATCTGAATTTATTTTTGTTATCAATGCAATGAAATACTTATTATCTTCAACACGTGCTTTTACACACTCATTTTTAACATTCTATTTATCTTGTCAGATTATCTGAAAGATAGAAGACTCGAGTAAATTATCTTACCATTATTCTATCCATTTCTTCTTTATTTTCTTTTTCTTTATTTTTATTTTGAAACATCATGTTTTAGAGGGCGGAATGGGGAGGAGGATTACAATTTTTAATGGCGTGCATCGCTACTTCCGTAGGCCTTGGAAACGTGTGGAGATTTCCCTTTACCGCCTATGAAAACGGAGGAGGTGCTTTCCTAATACCTTATATTATCGTTTTGATATTCGTGGGGAAACCTTTTTATTTTTTGGAAGCTCTTCTCGGCCAATTTACCAACAGATCATGCGCGAAGACGTGGGGCATGGTACCAGCCATGAAAGGTGATTGATGGCCAACAGAATTTCCAAACTTATCTTAATAATTTTTAAAATAATTCTTCCTCTAATGTATCTGATCAGATTTTGAAAAAATTATTTTAAAAAATATTTTTAATCCTTAAAAATTGTTATCAGAGGAGATTGTATATAAAATAAAATTTGTTTGAGATGAAATTTCACAATTTGACAACTTGTTAAGGTTTGAATAATTTTTAAACGTTTTCTCCCGATAAAAAGATTAGACGTTTTAATTTTTACAAGTGGAATTTTAGGTTTGGGATACGGTCAAGCATTCGCAGCGTTTTGCGTTCTTACCTATTATTGCTCCTTAATGGGTTTAACTCTTTATTATCTCGTGGCTAGTTTTCAATCTGAGTTACCTTGGTCTTACTGTCGAGAAGAATGGAAGGATTATTGCGTCGATACAGTTTCGAAGGATAACAACTTGAATGGGAGTGCCAGTTTATTGACTATTTATAACGGCACCTTTCGTAGCTCTGCAGAATTATATTTTAGGTATGTAGATAAATATTTTTATCTTCTAATCATCGGTCCACTTTTATTCTATAAAAATTAACAATAATCTCTTCAATGTTACATTTCGTTTCATATTTTTTCTCCCAACCAGCAACAATTATTTAAACATTCGATCTCTAATAATAACTAATAACAATGTACTCAATTTAAAGAAATGGCAAAATCAATTTCACAATAATAAAACAATGATTTCACTTTTTACAATTCTTTAAAAACATTTCCACATTCCTGATTAAATTTTCAGAAAGATCGTCCTGAACGAGTACGAATCCATCGAAAATGGAATTGGAACACCCTCTTGGCAGCTCACGATTTGCCTCTTCATAAGTTGGGCAACGATCTTCTGCGTCCTGTGTCGAGGAATAAAAAGTACAGGGAAAGCTGTGTACTTTCTCGCCATATTTCCATACGTTATCATGATAGGTTTATTAATCAGATCGGTGACCCTCGAAGGAGCGGTGAACGGAATTCTTTTCCTCGTTACGCCCGATTGGGACAAACTGTGGCAACCGAATGTTTGGTATGCCGCCATCACCCAATGCTTCTTCTCCCTTTCCGTTTGCTTCGGCCCGATCCTTACTTACTCGTCCTACAACAATTTCCAACACGGTCTTGGCAGGTAAGATTTTCTTTTTTTTCTTTTCTTTTTAATTCAAATTCCAATTGAATATACTATAGATTATTTAGAAAAATTGTAGTTTAAATAGTCGATTTTAACAACGCAAAGA